GTGTCCTTTAGTTGGAACTTAATAGCATTGGGAGCTGGTGGAACCAAACCCAACATATCAACATTTGGAGCTGATCAATTTGATGTTTATGACGAAGAGGAAAGAGCCCTAAAACTTTCATTCTTCAATTGGTGGACTTTCGCTCTCTTCTTTGGAAACCTCCTCTCAAGCACTGTCCTCATCTATATCCAAGATAACGTTAGCTTTTCAGTTGGCTACATCATACCCACAATTGCATTAGCCTTTTCAATACTAGTATTCTTTGTTGGCACACCATTTTATAGGCATAAGTTGCCTTCCGGTAGTCCAATCATAAGAATAGCTCGTGTTTTGGTGGCCTCTATTCGAAAATGGAAGATTCCTTATCCAATAGATTCAAAAGAATTATATGAGCTCGACTCCGAGCACTCCTCAAAGAAGGCATATTACAAAATCAATCGCTCAAACTCACTAAGGTTAATATTGATCAAGCTTGTCTTATTTATTAAACAAGGAGTTAGAATGTAAGAAGTATTAAAAATAATCCTCTACTACTTACATGAGGTCATTTTAGTCTCATATTCTATAAGAATATCAAATTAGTCCCCATAGCCTTTTAATATAGATTAAAATAATCTATTTTAGCCCTTATTAAAAGAGCTGGAGCTAAAAGGTGGTCTGGATGTACGATTGTTCAGACCATCATTCACGAGTCATCACATCATCAAACATCTGATTTGTGGATAATATGATAGTCGTGAATGACCAACGGGACGTGTGGACCTAATAGTTTCTCCAAATATTGAGCTTCTTTGATATGATTCCCCTTTATTTCTTTTATAGGTTTTTGGACAAAGCGGCAGTGATGACAGGTTCAAACGATCCATGGATCTTATGCTCCATAACTCAGGTAGAAGAAACCAAACAAATCATCAAATTACTACCAGTCTTCATAACATCAATCATTCCCAGTGTAATGATGGCTCAAGTCCTCACCCTCTTCATCAAACAGAGCATGACTATGAACCGCAGAATAGGATCTAATCACTTCCAAATCCCCCCTGCAAGTCTCTCTTCCTTCTTCACCATTGGCACTCTCACAAGCGTCGCCATTTATGACAGATGTTTTGTCCCCCTAATCAAAAAGCGCACCAAAAACCCCAGAGGGATAACGATGTTGCAGAGGATAGGCATTGGGGAAGCATTCCACATCCTCATTATGATCATGGCAGCGCTCGTCGAGCGGCGGGGGGTGTGTGCTGTGAGATATCATGAGCAACCATTAACTGTTTTTGTTATCTCGCCACAGTTTCTGCTGATGGGAGTTGCAGAGATGTTGGTGGAAGTGGGAAAGATGGAGTTTTTCTATGATCAGGCGCCGGAAGGTATGAAGAGCATGGGGGCTTCGTTCTTTACGACGAGTATTGGGATTGGGAATTTTATCAGTAGTTTTCTTCTGTCAACAATGGCGAAAGTGACGAGAAGAGGGGGGAGAAGGGGATGGATTGAGAATGATTTGAATGAGTCTCGTTTAGATTGTTATTATGGGTTTTTTGCGGTTCTTAATTTGATTAATTTTTTATTATTTTTGATGGTTTCTAAGTTTTATGTTTATAATAAAGAAGTTGTTAAGGGTGAGAATGAGGTGACATAAATTGTTAAACAATGATTGGGAGGAGAACTCATGCCATTCATGTCATGAACTTCAAAAAAAAAAAAAAAAAGAAGAATTTTGCCTTCTGAGTTTTAGATAGCTTGTAGTTGAGAAAAATAATGAAAAGATTTACATAAATTTCATAGATTTCTTATGTATTTACATATCTAATTCATCAATTTTTACTCGCTTATATATATATATATATATCTCAAAGGAATAGTCAAAGGCTATTATACGAGCCTCCAGACACCTCTAATGTGTCTAACAATTCGAGTACCACCTCCTTAAGGTCAATTGTGTCAAAGGAGATTTGAACCACCAACCTAACAGGTTTTATATCGTAGATGTCAACCAACAGGTCGGGGTACGCGGAACACGCACACATATATTCTACATAAAAAATGTTTTAGTACGAATCTCGAGAAAATCCTACAGGTCTCACCAACAAATACCGAAGTACACTATATCGTGATAGTCAAAAGACAAAAAATATCAAGTATAGTGTCCTTTAGTTGGAACTCTGACCGAACAGAAGGACAACCGAACAAAGAGATAAAAGACGCCCAATCTGAAGGGTGGTCATTCAAGACCAGCTCTCTCAGTCGCTAGATTATGGTGGTACACCCTACGCCCAATGACCAAGTTTATCCCAACAACTGGAGCACATGTTGGAATCAATTTTTGATGTCACGTGTGTAGCGTGTCAACTTGGTTGACTCATGATGATTTACTCTTCATTCATAGTGTCCCTTAGCTAAAGGCATCTATCTAGTCCCCTTTGATCAGGATCTACGATAATTTGACCTTGTCTGGGATAATTCACCATTTTGGGGCATCATTCACGAGCTAAGACACCTTTGATGTCCCATCGGGTGTTTAAAAACCATCCACATTCATATGGAGTCTTCCGTGGTCAAAGGAACCCATAAAAGCTTCTAGTGGGCGTTTTCGAGAAGATTGGGGTTTAGGACGCCATACCCATGTGGTAATTTGGGGCGCTCATTGGCACATGATCCCTGTTGTGATATCCATGAAAAATACTTATTTTTGAATTTATGAACCATATTTTAGTCATACACATTCTCATACCTTATAGATCGAAAACATCCTTCGTCGGACATTTCCGGTAAAAATTGGGGCTTATCGGGTCAGATCGACGCCTAAGCACAAGTCTCGGGCGCATATCGCCCGAAACAACCTCGAGTATGGTCAAACTTGAGAGCCTAGAAAGTAGTCGACAAGAGGACAGGGCCTGGGCCTCGAAATAGCTCTGGAATTTCCCGAAATCGAGGCCACAAAAAATTGACCTTGGGGTTGGTGCCTCTGCGCCAGGGTCACGGCGCCCAAGCTCTAGGGACTCGACGACTAAGCATCGGTATGCTTCCAGATTTTGATTTTGTGGGCCCTTGAGGCCAAATTTGTTGGGGAGGGGGTGGGGG